CCCCCTTCCACTTCGGGGAGGGGACCCACACCAGCTTGGGGGGGAGCCCAGCAGCAGGAGTGACTGTGGACTCCTGATCGAACCCGTGGTCACAGAGGATCAGTGACCCCAGGGGACAAAACAAGAAGGTTTCTTTAAGAGTGAAGGTCAGTGACGCGTGAAGTGCACAGACAATATTACGGGGGAAAACAGAAGACCTGGCAATACATAGAACATTCCAGTTCTGTGTAGATGGATCTGGCCCTATCTGAATGTGGAGATAAAAAAAGTTTTCCCTTCTTTGTTTATACTATTCTACATGTTGTAGAATAGTATGTTCTGGGTGGTACAATTAATTCCAAACTTTTTTTTTTTAATATACATATAATTAAAACAGGTGTGGTTTTAGAAGGGAAAAATAATTCCCAAAATTGACAAGAGGAGGAATGACCCTGCAGTCTGGGTAGACCCAGCGTATCTGTAGATTCTTCCCTCCCCCACCCCTGCCATTTTTGGAGGCAAAAGAATGTGTTAAATGGGGGAGGGGTGATTTTATAATGGAAGGTGACAGCCAACGGAATTATTGCCACGTGGAGGTCTGTGTGTGTCCTTACGCTGTTGTAACTGTGTGGTCTTGCTCCCACTGCATTGCCAGTCCTCAAGGACAAGGTATTATCTTGTTTCTTGGTTTCCCCAACAGCACCTGGGTCAGCCCCTGATCATCATTGACGGACGGACGGACTGACTGACAGATTAGCTGACCTTGCCATCACTCTTACGCGTTATGCCCACAAAATGTGCTAACATCTTGCCTCATTTTGCTTTTGGTCAAGAGGTAGAGTTCCATCCAAATTCACTACACAAAATCCAACAGCTGGAATACAGGAGCCATTCATCAGAAAATGGGTTAAGCTTTCTGGGGAGTTGTGTGTGTGGCAAGACCCTAATGGAATTTTTAAAAATTTTCTTAGTTTTATGGAAATTGCACTGGGAAGAGGGTCTGTTAAAGCCCTTTGATTTGACCACAGCCATTCACACCAGTGCACTTGGCATCTCCAGTGCCTGGCTTCTGGGAGGGAGGGATTTAATAAAGAGGATTTTCTTTCCCTGAGTTGGCTGTGAGAGTGATCCAACACACGTTCGGGCCCTTTCTGGTTTCAGCTGTTTCTCGTGTCAGCCAACACACCCGCAGGCAAGAATTACAGTCCACTCTGCCTCCTCACACTGATCCAGGCGGCCGGGGAAGTCTAGGGGATGACACCTGGTGTGTTTCTCCACATGACAGACCTTCTGTACTCACACATCACAACACTCAGATGGAGGTTGAAGCCAGGTAACATTCCTGCCCTCTTAGAAGCAGAAGAGAAGAGAGAGAAATGGTTTTCACAAAAAGCCAAAGAAGGTTTCTATGCATGTACCTGACATACCTGAATGATTAATGTCCCTATTTGGGGAGTTGTGGGAGTTCAGTGAGAAGTGGCTTCTCTTCTTGGAAGGGTTAACAGCACACTGAGGAACGCTGTCGGTGAATTGATGGGTGACGAACCTGAGCTGAGCCAGCAGAGTGAAAGAAATAGCAAATGTCTCTTCTCCTCAGTGAGGAGACATTATGTTCTAATAAACCAACTACGGTGGTTCATGGTCATGTTTTCCTCCTGGTATTTGTGCCTGGCCACCAGGTACCCAAAATCAAGATCAGTCCAGGGAACCTCCCACAACACGAAACCACCCATCCCAGGTTCCTTCAAACCACTCAGAATTGTTGCTGTACGAGGTAAGTGAAGAAACCAAGATGTGCATCGATTAGTGCAGGATCTAGGAACCAATAGGGGCAAGATACATACAGCTCAGGTCCCCACAGGGACAAGAATGTTCCAGAGAATTTTGCCTGGGAAGTGGGTGTGTGCCTCATGCCTGCTGCTATGTCCATTCTCACATTGGGTTGTGAGGGAAGGACTTACTTATTGCCCTTTTGAAAATTTTATTTCTCTTAATAACTAGAGGTTTTTTAGTTTTTGAGGACAGGTTGTTATAAAAATGTCACTTTAATTTTATTTATTTAACAAACACATGTATTAAATAAAATAGATTAAGTATTAACTATATAACTATATTATCAAATTATATTCTAAAATATGTAAATATTAACTCACTTAATCTTCATAAGAACTCCATGAAGTACAGGTACTACTTTTAGCCCCATTTCACCTGTTAGAAAATAGACACCAAGAGGCTAAGTAATTCAGTAAGGTTACACAGTGGGTAAGTGATTAAGCTGGGACTTGAACTTAGGAAGTCTGGCTCCAGCATGATCTTCACCTCTATTCAAACTCAGAAAAATATAAAACCAAAAAAACCGGCCTAAAGACAACCATAGAAAGGTTGCCTCGCCAGGGCGCCTGGGCAGCTCAATTGGTCTGCATCCGACTCTTGGTTTCGGCTCAGGTGGTGATCTCAGGGTCTTGAGATCAAGCCCCACACAATCTCCATGCTGGGAGCCTGCTTAAGATTCTCTCTCTCCCACCCCTTCTGTCCCTCCGTACTCTCTCTCCCCCTCTCCCCCTTCCTACCACTCCTGTGTTTTTTTCTCTTTCTCCCCTTCTTTAAAAAAAGAAAGTTTACCTCGCCATCTATGCTAGGCATGGACATGCCCATGTCTGCACCCAGTCTCCATATTCAGTTTTGCATATTTTTGTTTTCTTCTGAACCTTATATAATGGTCTTTCTATGTGGTTAAAAACTCCTTGTAGATGTTTTAGTGCCTACTTAATATTCCCATCATGTAAATGTACTACTCTGCTGAACCATTCCTTTATGGTTGCCCATTTGGCTCTTTGGTTTTCTGTTCTAACAACTAGCACAGTCATGACCATGTCGATGCAGAATTTTTTTCTGTTCTTTGGAATAGACCCTGAGAATACCTCCTCAGAAGTAAAATCCCCAGGTTCAGGTGTATGAATGTGAACACTTTTCAGGCTCTAGATACAGGTGTCCAGTGGTTTTCCAAGAAGCTTGCCTCTCACAGTGTCTGCAACACTGGGCAGAAGTGACTTTGTCATTCTCACACCAGCACCGAGAATGATTTCTCGAAATCTTTGCTAATGTGATAGGTGGAATGTGGTATTGTATTATTGTCTTGATTGTATTTCTTTGTTGGCTACAGGCTCGAGTTGGTCCATATTGGTTGATCAGTTATCTGTGTCTTCAGGTGGTCTGGTTGGGTCCTTTTTCCATCTGCCTTTCAAGATCACACAGAAGCCTTTGGGGATCCAACAGAAAAGGGCCAATGGTTTCCCATTCTTTCTTCTCTTGCCTTGACATGGTATTCTCCCAAGTATTTTTCTAGTCTATACTGCTATACATGCTTTTAATCTTCCCCCCAAACCTTATGTGCACTTTTCTCCAGATTCTTTATAAAGTATTCTACAGTCTGCTTTGAAAGGATATTATTTCATTTTTTGCGAGAGTGCCCCATGCATAATTCCTCATGGGTCCCTCTGTCTTGGATCATAATCTCCTAGAGAGCCAGACTGTCTCCTTTGGAGCAGTTACTACACACGTTTTGGTAATGCCCCCAGAAGCCACAGAACAGGCTTCCTGGCCAAGGGTGATGTGAACGTTTATACAGGCCATCTTGAGAACACTGGCCAGAAATGAGAAAGGTGATGAGCATAGTAGGCTGGATATGTCCGTGTGCCCTGGTTATACTTCAAGAGAGCTAAAAAGAACCCAGATAACACCTTCCCTACCTACTGATCGCTAAGAAGAAGGTGCAGTTCTAGTGGAGGAAGGCACATAGGACTAGGGAGCCACAGTCCATGAATTAGTCCTATGTTCTCCATCATTATGAACCATCAATATGAACCATGGGTCACATTCTCTACTAATCCCTCCGTTTTTTTTTTTCTACCGGAGAAGTGATATCAGTAATAACTGATGCTTTGAAGAATCTTAAAATGTTATATATGGTCTCTCTTATCCCTTAATCTTCACAGTAGCCAGTGAAACAGACCGTCACGCTTTGCAGTTGAGCAAACAGACATGGTGAGCTGCAGCTCTCCCTTCAATAAAGTATCAAGTGAAGATTTCATTATTAGATTTGTAAAAGCATATTATACTCTAGGAAAACAATCCATTGACTTAAATGTGTCATGAGACCAGGAAGAAGGAAAAGGTAAAGTATCTTGGTAGGTGTAGAGGGCTTATGGAAAAGGACCACAAAAGCCCCCCCCCCCCCCGAAACCTCTGTCACATAAGAAAAAATATTGAAAGAGATCAATGAAACAAAATCAGCAGAACGTTGATGATTATTTTCAGATATTAAGCAGTCTTTCCTCATATTTCTTCATTACATGACATCCTCACCTCCAGTTGTCCCGATTACTGCAAAGATCAGCAATAATAATAGAGCACATCCCATTCTATGGGACTTTATGTACCTATTCAAAACAATCAGAAGGATATAAATGTGTATGAAATTATCTGTTAGAATAAGTTCTAGACGGATGGATAGATAGATCCATGTTGCTTTTTTTTAGATAGATCTATGTTGCTTTTAGATGCTACGTTGCTCTTTTTTTTTTTTTTTTTTCCAGGTGGGCCTGGTTAAGAGCATATATCAGGTTTTACCAAATGTGAAAAGCAGAACAGAATATAAAGGAAGTTAAGATAGACCTCAAAACCTGGTGGGAGGGATGGGGCAAGCATGTTCTCTGCAGGTCAGGCTTGCAGTGGACAGGACTCTCGAGAGCATGTGGGGGAGGTCAGAAGCCCTTCAGCTGCCCTTCCTGGAGCGGGAGATAAAAATGTCAGAGGCCAACAAGCTTTGCCTGCCCCTGAAGGTAGAAGAGCTTCTGCTCAAATAGTGCATTTCAGATGCTCGCTGCAGAGATTTCACAGGTGGGCTTAAGAGGGGAAGGCATCTTGTCACCTGAAGCCGGGCTGAGTGGGGGTCTGGCGACCTCCGGACGATACTGGGGGCTGAGGCTCTGCGGGAACTCACGGCCGTGCTTGCATTGCAGGATTTTACGGGCAGCTGCAGACATCCTGCCCCCCCCAGTACCCCGACTCCCAGAGAACCGTGCTGCCCAGCAGCCCCTGCGGTGGGGCGCCTTCCTTCGAGGACTGCCTGGCCCCCACGCCCATGGGGCAGGCTGGCTTTGATGTGTTCCACAGAGCCTTCTCCGCTCACTCGGGCATTGCAGGTGGGTTGCTGTCTGAGACCAGAAACTCCGCCAGACTCGCAGGTGAGACGGATGGGTTTGCCGTGTCCGGCCTGGAAACGGCTCAACCCCGCACAGGACCGCATCCCGTCCTCTTGACTCGACCCCTGAAATGTCTCTCCTCTTCGGGTTCCTCTCCAGCGCCACGCCCACCGCCCAGTCGCGGGGGGCCATGTCTCCCCCAGACCGTGGCAACAGCCATAGCCTTCCAGCAAGTTCCCCGAGACAGCTCTGTCTACCGTCCTGCCCCCCTTGGACCACGACGAGCACGGCCTTCCAAAAGTGAACCATAAATTAAGCCCCCTTCCTCCTTGAACACTTTAGATTGGTCTCCAGCTGCCTAAGCACTAAAGGCTGCGCTGGGCGCGGCGTTCACAGCCCCCAGGAGAGAGGCCTGATCCCACAGGCCCGCCCTCACACATCTGCCTACACGTGCTGCCCCTGAACTTGCCCGGGCCCCTCCCTCCCCGTCTTTGCACTGTTTCCTCCTTTTAGAATGTTCTTTCCCTACCTCTCCATCTGTGAAAATCCCATCTTTCTTTATGACTCAACTTCAATATCATCTCCTTTTCGAGGCCCTCCTCGCCCTTGCCTAGAACGCTTTAGTTCTGCTCAGCCTGTATTTTGTGCCAAGACTCATTCTGGCCCTCCGCCGGCAAGGCCGCCTCCCTCCCCGCGGCGGTCCCTGCGACGAGAGCGCGCATGCGCAGCGTGCGCACGCAGTGGGCGTGGCCGGGCGGGACACTGAACTTCCTGTTCCTTCTCTTCTAGTGTATGACCTGCCCTCGGCGTCCTCGAGCCTCTTCGGAGAGTCCCTTCGCAGCGGGCCTGAAGACGCCACGTTCCTGCAGATCAGCGCCGTGGACCGCTGTCCTAGCCAGCTCTCCTCTGTCTATACTGAAGGCTAAACGCTCCCCTGGCCTCCGCTCCCGCTGGCATCCAGAACCTTTGTGTCGCTTGCCACCTTTTACTTTCCCGTTCTCGTAGACTGCGTGAAAAGATGTCCTCCTCCTCGTGGAGGCTGCAGACTCACAGATGTGTCTCTGGAAGGCAGGGCTGGTCGGAGCCGGGCGTTGCCGGAATGTCTGCCGCTGCTGCTCCTTCTCTCTGGGCTTGCTGGTGACCAGCAGGACTGTCTTCTCAAAGGGAATTTAGAGTCACTCTCCCGGATACCTGTGACTTCCGGCTGTCAGCTCTCAAAGGACACCAGTGAAATGATGCGTGTGTGCAGATACAGCCTGGGGACCACCCTTGCACAGACTCCAGATAGGGAAGGACAAGCCCAGTTGCCAGAAGCACAGTGAACTGCCTCCCCCACCGCTCACCATCCCTGCTGGCTCCTGCAAAACCAGGCAACGAGGGAAACCTGCCGCCAAAGCACAGCGTGGGCTCAGCTCCTGGAGCAGCCCCGGTTCCTGGCCCCGGCCCCAGCCTGGCAGCCCCAGGAGCGGCTGCCTCTCTCCTCTCACCATGCCCGTGCTAACCAACTGCTTTGCAATATTTCTCCAAAAGCAAAATAAGAAGGTTCTGTGAAGCACAGTCCTTTGAAAGGCACTACAACTTTTTTATACTCCAGCAACTTATCTTTGTTCTTTTATTTTTGAAGACTTGTTATTTACGTCTACTTTTAAAGGAAAAGAAATATATAGTGGTCTGTTCTTTGGATGCAAAGAATTCTTGTAATCACCCCAGTCACGTCCATTTTGCCACCGCTGTAGCTCGTCCTGGCCCCGGCTCACCGTGCCTGTGAGCCCCCCCCCGGGACGGTAGTTTCATATTTCACAAGAGCCACCTGAGGGAAACGGGGTGAGCCCAGCCCCCTTCCCGGAGCTGTAGCAGAAAGGGACTCCACCTCGAAGACCTCATTCCCTGCAAAAGATCGCTCGACTGGTTGTCCCATCGCCTCCGCTCGGCGCTGTGCTGTGCCGAGTCGTCCTCTGTAGGAGATGTGAGAGCAGGGGCCCTGAGCTGAGATCTTGGGTTCTCTCAGAAAACCAAACTAGAGGTGCCCGATGTCCAGTGATTGTGCACAGCTTCTGCTCACCTCCTTTCGGATACCTGCTCACCCGTCTGTCTGTCCCTCCCCCGCACTGTCCTCTCCTCCTCATTATTCTCACCTCCTGCTCGTCTGCCTTCAGTCATGCCCACCCGCCCTCGCCTGATCAGCCCTCGCAAGGTCGGCCCTGAGGCAGGTAGAGGGAAAGTTCAGGGAAGGTAAGCAGACGTTAACTTTTTTCCTGAAACTCTCATTCGAGGGCCTGGAATGTTCACAGAGCTCTTGGTCGTTTGATAGCAACCCTGAGTAGGAAGCCAGTTTCTGGGATGTGTTCACAAAGGTGTTAAAGAGATCTAAAGTCCGACACGTAGGCCCTAAAAAGTAGCCAAACCCCAAAGACACGGGGTAAAGCCTGATATTCCAGGACTGTCACATTTCATTTTCTTTGCTCTCGTAAAGTCAAACAGTGCTCTTTGCCCCACTGAGATCATTACAGTCTCCAGGGAGAGTTCACGGGCGCGGTGTCACACTTGGGATCTGGGGACCATTTGTCTCCTGACAGGCAAGTCGTTGCAGTCGGGCTGCACGGCTGGACCTGATCCCCACGTGCCACAGAGTGAGGGGACTAACGAGCCACGCGTGGGGGCCGCTTTTCCAGGACCCGCGGTCAGTCCACTCCCTCGGACTCGTGAGCTCTGATCTGAGAAGGGCCACCATGCAGGCGTCCTGAGCTCATAGGAGGGAGGTCACTTGCTTTACAAAACTCTGCTCCGCTTTGTGAGAGAAGGCTCCCCAGGCTCCCCAGTCTGCGGGCTGCCAGCGTCCTTGCAGACTCGGTGGGTTCTGCCCCTTGGTCTAAACCAGGACACGGGCGTGCTAATGTTGCCGTCCCTCGTGTGTCCTAGGTGCCCCCAGAAAAGGGAGGCGAGTTCCCGTAGCCTTAGACAACGTGCCGGGCCTTAAATAGGGAAGCCTCTCTGAGGAGCTCAGAGCGTACTTCCTATTTTGTGTGACGAGGAGGAAAAAGATGAAAAGCCAGGGGTTTGCTGCAGTGGCGGGAGCCCTGCCTTATGGCTTTGTATCGCGTGAAGTGGACAGAGGGACGGAGGACAAAGCCAGAAGCCGAGCCTCAGGCATTCTGGATGTCACTTCCTCGCTGGCTGGAGGAGACGTTCTGCCCCAGTGTCTGTCTGACCCTGGCCTCGCGGCAGCCCCGCCCCTCTCTTCCCTCACTGCTGCTTTTGGGGCGTTGGGGGGGGGAGCTGCACCTGCAGGGCCTCCTTCCTCAGCAGGAATGGAGACCAGCCCCGGAGGGCACTGGTGTGAGCAGAGGGAGTGCGCGGGAAGCAGGGCCCAGTGCAGCCTGCCAGCTCGTGTCCCCTCACGTGGCTGTCAGTGTTTCCTGGTGGCTGCGGCTCTGAGCTCAGCTCTCAGGGCCTGACACGTTCAGGTTCCTTGGAGACGGTGCGGGCCGTCCTTCGCTTCCAGAATCTCACCTGACCTTCCGATGTGTCCCTTGCTGGCTTTCACATGGCACAGGATTCAGAGATGCGTTCATCATCGTGTGTGCAGCAGCGAAAGTAGAAGCTTCAAAAAATTAATTCCCTTCCATTTCCTGGCCCTTTTCTACTTGGTATACAACCAGCCATTTTCAAAAACATCCGAGCAGAGATTGTCATTCCCCCTTTTTGAAAACAACAACAACAAAAAAAAACTGGTGCTTGTGAAAATACACACAGTCCAAAGCCAATTATCCTATTACAGTAAAAAAAAAAAAAAAAAAATCAGTCTGCTGAGAGACATTTCATTTGCGGCATCCTCTTAATTCCCTAAAGGGACCGCCTCAAAATGTCAGCTGTAATTTAGCCACCCATCAGCTGCTAAACATTATTAAGGATTGTACTGGTCCTGTGGGGTGTCTCCCTTCACTAAAGCCCATCTCCCCCAGGTTGCATAGGTGATTCAAAATCAGACAGAAGGCCTTCAGAGGACCCACTGATAGAACAGAGCGTTGGTGGTGTTGTGTTGTTTTTAAATTCCCCGCTGTCAGGCACGTTACTAGGTTAGAGCAGAGGTAAAGGGCCAGCTCCCCCGCCCAAGTACCTTGATCCTCAAGTCGCCCTGAAGTATCGGGAATAGTGACTGTAAATGTCCAGTTTAATTTTTTGGTATTCTATTTGACTGTTTGTGATCTGTTCTAGCAGCATTTTGGAATGGCACTTTTTGTTGGTGGTGCAGGATTTCTGCGGTTACTTTTTTTCTTTTTCTTTCTTTCTTTCTTTCTTTTTTTCTTGCAATGGATAAAGCAAAAGAAAAAAACAAAGCACCAAAAACCAGTCATTGGAGAAATGGCGAATGTAAAAAAGACGAGATTTATTGTGTACAGACAGAAGACCATCCTGTGTAATGTTGCTGACATAAAGCACTTTGGGGGGGAAAAGTGGAAATCTGGTTTCCATAAATCACACAGACCCTTGTACATGGCTATACACTCACGTAGAGAAATGAACTGCATATATCATACTGGATATGGGGCCGATTTTTCTTTCGGGGCACATCTGGTGCTTGTTGTCATAAATCTTTTAAAGAATTAGGTACACTTTTTTTCTATTAATATGTATAGTTTTGTGATTTGTCACAGTTATGTTTCGTATAATCATAAGTTATTTTGTCTTGTTTCATGAAGTCCTTTTTTTTTTTTTTTTTTTTTTTTTATGTCAAAAGCAAAATGAAGGGATTGTGCCCTTGGTACAGAATAAAACTGGAACTGGAGAAAACCGCCCACCTGCCTGAAATGCTCCTTCAGCCTGGCCTCCTGAAACACAATGGGAACACCCTGGGGGGTTTGTTTGTTTGTTTGTTTGTTTGATTATTGTGTTTTGTTTTACCATAAGCCTCCTTCCTGTTGGGATGGTAATTATAATGAAAAGCAGATTGGGGGGGTGGGGGAGAGCACGTCCAGGGCCAGCTTTAAAATGCCGCATTGCTTTAGGCCAGAACTGCCGGCTGGATTTAATTATAGATATGAGGACAAAATGGCAGTAAAAATGAATGTGTCCCCGAATCCTTTACATGTTGGGAGTGTCCATAAATAAAACATGAAGTTTTATTTCATCAGATTTAATTAAAGCTTTTATACATGTTTTATTGGTTATTCTATTAATCCGCTTCACAAACTGGATAAATGTGTGCCAGGGTTTGGGGTTTATTCGTGCCTTCTCAGTGCCGTGCTACATCGTGCCTCAGAAATGTCGCTGAGTGCTGGGTCCCTCAGGTGAGGGCATTACGGCCTGCTGGCTAACGGGGATTAGGCCTTCTCAGCCTTGTTTTCCCAAAACCCTGCAGAAAAAGACACAAACGTCTGCTTCCCGGGAGCTGATAACATGATCTTTGAAGTCCTTTGATTGCCTGAAGGAGAAAGGGGCAATTGCCCCCTCCGTGCACTCTGCAGGCTCTGGAAGGCCTCCTGACCCACCGGCTGCCATGAGCCTCCTTCCTCAGCTCCCATCACTGGAGCCAGCGCCATCAGGTGGGGGAGAGGGTGGTCAGGGCATCCTCACACCTGGTGGACCCGCAGCCAAGCCCACGAGCCTAGAAGAGATCACGTTCTCCCAAGGATCATTCTGGGGATATCACCTTGTCTGGCCCTTCAAGGAAGGGGGTGTTGAAGGCAGCAGATCCTGTGGTTCAGAGTTTGAAGATAGAAAGAGAGCTGACAGACTCAGGGAGCTTCTCTGCTCCTTCAACAAGGAGGCAGCCGGTGGGAGTGCGATCCGGCCCAGCGTCTTAGGAAAACAGTTTGGCATTAACTGGTAGAATTGAAGACACGCATTGCCCACAATCCACCAATTCCACTCCTCGCCCTCTCCAGAGAGACTCCTGCGTAAGTCGACGACGGTTCAGACGCAAGGT